CGGATAAAGCGGATGAGGATGGATGGATGGATGGTTACAATTACGTTATGGTTAGGTTTAGGGTAAGGGTCAGGGTTAGGCATTCATTTTTATTTTATCATTTTATTAAACTTGACATGGCAGAAGTTCCTCTCCCTTCATCAAAGCTTTCACTGCTAACACTAAAGGAGTTATGTTTTCTACAACACATGTTTGCTAATAAGAGAAAATTAATCTTTTACAATGATAAATGGGAGTGCGCTTTTGATTGCTAATGTTTCCACACAAAGCACAGCCGGTAATTCATATCAGAGCAGTGAATGCAGAGCCAGTGCCAGTCGGTCTAATGCAAATCTCCCATCAGTTTCCTTTAGAGATCAGAGGTTTATTCACATTGCAAATGCAAAAAACCTTTCCAACTAGTGTAAATGGAAAACAGACTGCAACTTTTGGTTTAGTGTGGTAAATGGGGTTTTGTTGGTGTCAAGAGATTTCTCACAAAAGAGTGGGGGCCCTGTGATGTGCGCTCTGTTCTTCTTCTATATTTATTTATATACAAAAGTAATACAATAGTGAATATGTCTGTTCATAGACAGAGGAATGTTGGTGCGTATGTATGTGCGTATGTTAGGTGTATGTGTGTGTGTGTGTGATTCTGAAGGACGTGGCCCCTCTTCTTGTTAGGGAGTGAAGATAAGAGTGTTCAGCTCTCTTCCTGGTAGGGAGTGAAACCACTTGTTCAGCTCTTATTATCGCTGTGGGAAGAAACTTACAAAACAGAACAGAACAAGTCTTGTAGTGAACAACAGTCTAAGTCATCAAAAGATCATCATGCAGTATTGTATCATATGCAAACGTATATCATTAAAAGCTTATACTGACTACTAAATACAATTCTCCATTGACAGTTGGGGGTGATTGTGTAGTTGTGGATTTGTGTAAAAATTGTAATAATAATATTATTGACAAAAAATGTCCTTATAGACAGTGAACATGCTTAATGTGACTGGTGATGTCGTTTTATCCAGCTCCTACATGTTTACCTGAAATGAAGCAAAATTTTTAAAATAGAAAATAAAAATTGAAGAATATATTACCACGGTTAAAAATCAACTTAAAAAAGTAAACATGTAAAATCCCGAAGTCCGATTCTCACCTTTGAGGTTTCCGTGAACACGTCATCTCAGCATCACAGCACAGACTGATGTAACAGTCAGCAACAGATGAAGAAGAGGAGAGGAGAATGATATGCATGAAATGTGTAGATTATTCAGCAAAACAAAATTACACTTGGAAAATCATCAAACAAACTCAAACATGAAAGATTAGGAAATCAGAGTCTCACCTTCAGGTTTCCTGTGAACACATCGTCTTACCAGCAGAACCAGTAACACCAGTAGAACAACAAAACAGACTGATCCAACACATGACAAGACAGAGAGAACAGGAGGAGAGAGTGATGGAGGAAGAGTGATGGAGGTGGATGTTGGCGGAAGTATGGTGGTGGGTTTTTCTAAAATAAATCAAACACAGTCATTATCAAGTTATCGTCACATTGCGAATGTTGAAACCTCCAGAAACACAGACAGGTGAGTGTGTCACCTATGACAGTGATCCAGCTGGATGGAGACTCTCCATGACCGCTGATGTCACACTTGTAGAGGCCTTCATCAGATCTGGAAACATGCTGGATGGTCATGTGACCTGTAGGCCCTTTCCCGATGAAGACGCCATCTTTATAGAAAGCAGCTGGGAGGTTGGAGGGAGTGGTCTTTGTTTTACAGAGCAGAGTGACGTCATCTCCCTCCATCACAGGGAGCACAGGACTCTGCAGGATCACTGATTTATCTGAGCACAGAGACAAACTACAGCATTTCATCCATTTACACACAGCTTCATCAACACTAACTCCACACACTCAGCTTACCAGCGACTGTCAGGTTAATCATGTTACTGATGGGACCCTCTCTGGACTCACACCAGTAAACTCCACTGTCGAGTCGGTCAAAGTAGATTATGTCACACGAAAAACCAGCTGGTTTTCCAAATCCAGATCCACACTTTGTTCTTGTCTCTGTAGTTGTGTTCCTTCTCAGAGTCCATCCAGCAGAGCTGTTGTCATCCTTACAGCTGAGAGACACAAACTCATCAGCAAACAGCTGAGTCCTGTTTAAATTCACTGTCAGACGAGCTGTAAATGATAGGGGAGGATATTAATCGTGTAATCAATTTTAATTAATCGTTTTTCAGTAAAGCACAAATATTTTTCAACCTATTAAAAATTCAAGGGCCTTGGAGTCTACATGAAGTCCTTGGTGGTTCAGTTTGTGTCATGTTTCTCAGCATCCAGAGAATGTGTTTGTTGGGGTTTGTTTTTTTGCCTTCGCCTCTCCCACCAGGGTGGAGTTGGACTTTGCTTCCCCACCTCTGAACCCGCACACCTGTTGCTCTTTCACACAAATCCTACTCTGGCGTCACATCATGAGTGATTACCTTGGCAGACTACTTAAGACGGCAGGAGACTCTACTTCCTCGCTGGATTGTTGTAGTAACTAGAGTCAGTGTAACTTTTAACCCTTTAAGACCTACATAGAACCAAATGCGCCAGAGCTTATCTTTATAATTTTACATGCTCTAATGCCATTGCTGAAAGCATTTCAAGTTGCTATACATCAATAGAACCATTATAGCCCAAATTTTAATAATATGTATGCATTAAGTGCATAGTAATTACATACATTATAATATGAATGGATTAAGTCCATTTTTTTTACATAAAAGGCAAAAAAAAAGTGCATTAAACTACAAACAAAATTTAAATCATTTTTGTTTTTGTTTTTTTTCAAACATATTTCTAGTTCTAGAAATTTCAGAGGTTTATACCTCAAAACTGTAAATATAAAAAAAGATGCACAAAGTAGTTTTCAACCACAGGAAATTTATTTTGTGTATCTTCATGGTTTTAATTTTGAGATGGCGGAAATACGATAGTTCACGCTGACGTCTGTTCCAATGTAGGAAGTGTGTCGAACAGCTGACTGGATCGGCAAAGCGTGTTTCTGGAATATTATGTTTTTGTTGCTGCAAGTGCTTTTTATGCAGTTTTTGCAAAGCTATATGTGGAAGGAAACTGTGACCTAGGACAAGCTGATGGCATAAGATGTAAGTACAACTCCTCCGGTTTCATATGCAAAACAAATTATTGCGCTAGCTTATGTGGTTGCAGTTCTACCGGGATTTAAAAATAGTTACGCAAAATAGAATGTGGCCGCTCCAATAGGCCTTAAAGGGATAAATAAACCCTTTACCTTTTCTCTAAGCTTCTGAGTCCTGTGATAGAGTCCTTTACCAAACAAATGGTGACAGAATGATCCAGCCAAGATGGACTCAGTGGACTCTGACCCTGTTCAACGGACTCTCCTCACCTGCTGAAGCGGCATGAGAAGATGCTCCTCCATATTAATAAAGAGCTCTCCACCCACACACATGCTCTCGCCAGGCGCACCCCCTTGGTAACCCCATCTTCTTTGAGTGTTACTCCCTCTCATTCTCCGCGCCCCCAGGCTGTGGCCACACCACCGCCTTGTTGGAGAACGATGCAGAGCCCTGAGCCGTTCGCAGGTGAGCTGGAGAAGTGTACTGGTTTTCTTGCCCAACTCTCTCTGTTTTTTGCCAGCAGAGCGTATGCCAGTGACGATGCCTGGATCGCCTTCTTTGCTCAGCTGCTATGGAATCACGCGCTCCAGAAAACACACCTGAATATCTCCTACCCCAAGTTCCTGTTTAAATTCAAAGGCGTGTTTAAAGAGGATGTCAGCCCTGTGGCTGCGGCGCAGTGTTTATTAAATCTAAAGCAAGGAAAACGCACTATGGCTCACTTCTCAATTGACTTCCGCTTTCTAGCTGTAGAGACTGAGTAGCGTGTAGAGACAGTGAAGGCAGTTTTGCTTAACAATATTTCGGAAGATTTCAAGGACAAGCTTATGACAAGAGATTTGCTGTTATCTCTTGACTCTTTAATAACCAGCATCACCCCCACTGACTCCTCCGGATCTTGCGGTATATGAGCTGGCGGAGGTGTTTAATAAGGATCGTGCTCGTTTTCCCCCCAAACCGGCCTAATGATTGATTTGTTACCTGGAACTCCACTGCCCACCAGCCGGCTCTATAGCCTGTCCCAGCCAGAAAGAGAAGCCATGGAGGAATACATTACCAACTGACTGGCTGCGGGGATCATTCAGCCGTCTACCTCTCCTTTAGGAGTGGGATTCTTTTTCATTAACAAGAAAATAAATCCCTCAGGCCTTGCATTGACTATCGAGGCTTGAATGCCATCACTGTCAAGAATAAACACCCACTACCACTGCTGACGTCTGCTTTTCAGCTTTTCCACGGGATGAAGATCTTCAGTAAACTTGACCTGTGCTGCTTATCATTCGGTTCACATTAGGGAGGAGGACGACTGGAAGACAGCCTTCAACACTCACTTGGGGCATTTTGAATGTCTTGTCATGCCGTTTGGATTAACAAATGCCCCAGCAGTCTTCCAAGCTCTCGTGAATGACATCCTCAGAGACTTCATCAACCACTTCAATTTTGTCTACCTAGATGTTATCCTCATCTTCTCCAGGTCAGTGACAGAACATGAAAAACATGTCAAACTAGTATTGCAACGATTCTTGGAAAAATGCCTTCTTGCCAAAGCAGAGAAGTGCGAGTTTCATGTAAACACTGTAATTTGTAATTTATTTACTTAGAAAGAGGGACAATATATATTAATGAACATTTTAACAAATGTAAATATGCCAGATTATAGCCTTAGGCTAATTTCCATCTGCAGACCCTCTGGCAGGTTGGTGGGGGGTTGTGGTTTGGTCCCGCCTTCACCATTGTGGTTGATGTGGAGGTAGGGACAGGCTTGGGGCGTCTGGAGAATCCCTAGGGACGTTATCCCTGGAGGGCCTAACCCAGGGGTTGTGGTCATAACCTGGTTAGTGGCTCTGGTTGCTCTTAGAGGGTGTTCTCCTTGTGG